CAATAAAAAATCCTCACAAAAGATGAAGACCAGGAGGCCCACATCCTGCTCACGAGAGTGGGGGGGGGGCGCCCCCTACCTCGTGGGCCCCCTGGTGGCCCTCCGACGCCAGTTCCAACTCCATATATTGGTTTTCAGGGAGAAAAAAATCAGAGAGAAGAAATAATCGTGTTTTACAATACGGAGCCGCCGCCAAGCCCTAATCTCTCTCGGGAGGGCTGATCTGGAGTCTGTTCAGGGCTCCGAAGAGGGGGATTCGTCGCCGTCGTCATCATCAACCATCCTCCATCACCAATTTCATGATGCTCACCGCCGTGCATGAGTAATTGCATCATAGGCTTGCTGGACGGTGATGGGTTGGATGAGATTTATCATGTAATCGAGTTAGTTTTGTTAGGGTTTGATCCCTAGTATCCACTATGTTCTGAGATTGATGTTGCTATGACTTTGCTATGCTTAATGCTTGTCACTAGGGCCCGAGTGCCATGATTTCAGATCTGAACCTATTATGTTTTCATGAATATATGTGTGTTCTTGATCCTATCTTTCAAGTCTATAGTCACCTACTACGTGTTATGATCCGGCAACCCCGAAGTGACAATAATCGGGACCACTCCCGGTGATGACCATAGTTTGAGGAGTTCATGTATTCACTATGTGCTAATGCTTTGTTCCGGTTCTCTATTAAAAGAGGCCTTAATATCCCTTAGTTTCCAATAGGACCCCGCTGCCACGGGAGGGTAGGACAAAAGGTGTCATGCAAGTTCTTTTCCATAAGCACGTATGACTATATACGGAATACATGCCTACATTACATTGATGAACTGGAGCTAGTTCTGTGTCACCCTATGTTATGACTGTTACATGACGAACCGCATCCGGCATAATTATCCATCACCAATCCGGTGCCTACGAGTTTTCCATATACTGGTTCTTGCTTATTTACTTTTCCGTTGCTACTGTTACAATCACTACAAAATACCAAAAACATTACTTTTGCTGTCTTTACTTTTGTTACTGTTACCACTACTATCATATTACTTTGCTAGTAAACACTTTGCTGCAGATACTAAGTTTCCAGGTGTGGTTGAATTGACAACTCAGCTGCTAATACTTGAGAATATTCTTTGGCTCCCCTTGTGTCGAATCAATAAATTTGGGTTGAATACTCTACCCTCGAAAACTGTTGCGATCCCCTATACTTGTGGGTTATCACTAATCAATGCTACTTTAATAAACATTCTAATGTAAAAATGATCAACGCGGATGCGTCCATCTGCATCCTTACATTCAAGTGCATCCAAGTATCTGAACGGCAACATCACTGGCCTATGCCGAAGATCTTACTCACAAATGCTCAAAAGAACGGGTTGTTCATTGAGATCTTGTCGTGTAAGCAAAATCTTAATAGAGTGATTTTGTGTCAAAGCTTTGTCTTGACTATAAGCAATACATCTTACTCAAACGGAGGAATTATATTCTCTCTTGCTGTTCTCTGGTACCAGTCAATGTCTAACCGCCCCTCAAAAGCCGTGCCATTATTCTGTTGTTTTTTTCTCGAATACGCTAAGGTAGTGTATCATTGCATTTATAGGAGGGGTAGAAAAAGTACAGGGGTGGGTCGTAGTCGCATACACACGAATGGCGAGACTAGGACCTGAGTAGAGCAGAAGACATGGGGACGCTCAGCCCCAAAACAGCAAATTCAGTTTACAAGATTGTGCGTGGTCATCCCTCGGGCTCCTGCCACGGCCCAGGAGCGAGCTTCGTCTTTGATGGATGTAGTGAGTGCAGCAGAGGAAGGGGCTACTTTATCGAAGATGATCGCGTTCCGGTGCCTCCAAAGCGACCAGGCCGTGAGGCCGGCAATGGTGGCCAAACCTCGACGTCGAGAGTTGGGGGTGAGCTGCAAGGCAGCAGAGAGCCAGGCAAAGTAGCTCATGGAGCCGTCGGGGGCAGCAGTTGCTGGGGAGCACCATGAAAGGATCTCATGCCAGGTGATGCGCGCGAAGACGCGGCCCACAAGGATGTGGTGCAGCGTCTCAGGCTCCTGCGAGCAGAAGACACACGCCGGTTCGTGCGGAAGGCCTCGTTGAGCTAGTCTGTCCGCAGTCCAGCATCGATTCAGGGAGGCGAGCCATATGAAGAACTGAATCGAGGTGGGGGCATCGGTTTGCCATGCGAGGCGCAAGAATTCCGAGGAGGTAGAGCCCAGGAACAACACATTGTAGCAAGAGGAGGCGGAGTACACTCCGTTGTCGGTCCACCACCAGCATAGGATATCAGGGCACGGGGAGAGCACGGCGTGATGTAGGCGGCGCCATAGTCCGACGTACTCCACCGCAACGGCGGGGCCAAGGGCACCCTGAATGTCAGAGATCCAGCAGCGATCAGTGAGTGGTTCGGCGACCGTGCGGGTGCGGCGAGTTTGCCTGGGGACGATGGCAGCGAGAGCGGGAGCGCGGTCGAGGATGGATTGCCCATCAAGCCATGGATCATCCCAGAAGCGGCAGGTGGTGCCATCCCCAAGTGTCCAGGAGGTGGAGGCACAGAAGAATTGGATATCTCGGGGTCGTGGGGTAACTGCAGATGTGACTAGGGCCTCGAGGGGTCAGTGTCCTTTAGACATAACCAACGAATGCGGAGTGAAACACCCGTGCGGTGGAGGTCTCGAATGCCTAAGCCGCCCAGCTCGATTGGGCGATAGACTCGTGCCCAGCTAACCAGACAGGAGCTGGGGCGTGCATCCTTGCGGCCGTGCCAGAGGAAATCACGAAGGACTCGGTTCGCCTGCTTGAGGATGATGGGGGAGAGGGTCATGGCGAGAAGCAAATGCACCGACATGGCGCTCAGAACTTGCCGGACTAGAGCTAGGCACTCGCCGCGGTTGAGTAGGGCGGCCTTCCAAGTGGCGAGTTTGCGCGAGAGCTTCTCGATCAGTGGTAGGAGGTGCGAGTTGGCCACCTTCCGAGAGAAAGTGGTAGACCGAGGTACAGGATGGGGAAAGGAACCATCGGGCAAGCGAGGGCAGTGCCAATGGAGCTCGCGGTGTCCTCAGAACACTGGATTGGCGCGGCGAGGCACTTTGCGAAGTTAGTGCACAAGCCTGAGGCGGCCCCAAACAAGTCCAAGAGGGTGCTGATCGTGGAGAGCTCTGCCGCGTCGGGATGGCAGAAAATGGCCACGTTGTCGGTGAAGAGCGAGATGCTCGAGGGGGCATGCCTATGCGTTAGCCGCTTCATGATGCCGCGCTGGACGACGAAGTGGAGGAGGGTGTCGAGCGTGTCTATGACGAGCACGAAAACCATGGGAGACACGGGGTCGCCCTGATGAAGGCCTTGGCCATGCGGGATGGGAGGGCCCGACACTTCATTGATCAAGACGCGCGTCGTGGCCGTCGAGATCAGGATGGAAATCCATTCACGTCATCGCGGACCAAAACCCACGTGATGGAGCACCTGAAGTAGGAATGGAGGAAACCAAGTCGAAGGCACACGCAATATCTAGCTTGAGGAGAGCTCCGGGGTGCTTGAGTTGGTGTAGTTGGCGCGCGGTTTGTTGGACGAGGATGAAATTGTCGTGGACGCTCCTCCCAGCTATGAATGCGCCCTGGTTAGAGGAAACGAGCTCACCGAGGTGCGGCGCCAACCGGAGAGACAGAACCTTAGCGAAAAGCTTCGCCACGAGGTGTATGAGGCTGATCAGGCGGTAGTCGAAGAGGGACGAGGCATTGGGCCGTTTGGGCAGCAAGGTGATGAGAGCTTCGTTAAGCCGCTGGAAGGCCTGGCCATTTAGGGCATAGAGCTTGTCGAAAACCTCGCAGAGAGCATCCTTGATAATGGGCCAGCAAGCACGCAGGAACTCGGCCGTGAATCCATCCGAACCGGGCGCCTTGCCAGAGGGAAGCCGCTTGATTGCCTCCCAGATTTTGTCGGAGGAGAAAGGTTGTTCCAGGGCAGAGAGGTCAAAAGAAGGGTGGCCAATGGCCGCCAGGTTGAGGGTAGCACCACGTTCCGCGGGCGCGCCTAGCACAGGGGAGAAGTGTGCAAAAGCGGCCAGCGCCATATCGGCATCGCCCGACACGTGAGTCCCGTCAGCAAGGAGCCCAAAGATATGATTCTTCTTACTCTAATGAGAGGCACGGATCTTGGAGATGGTCAATGCCGCCTCGCCAGCCCGCAACCAGCGCAGACGGGCACGTTGGCGCGCAATAGAGCGCTCAAGCGAGGCGAGCCCGAGTTATTTGCGTTTGAGCTCGCGCCGGAGCCAAATCTCGGCGCGGGACAGGCGTCGGGTGTCCTGGGCCTCGTCGAACCGAGCGATGAGCTCAGGGGCCACTCCCAGCTGGGCAGCGAGATTAGAGACGAAGCGGGAATTCCACCTTTGGAGGCTACGCGCAATGGCCCGAAGTTTAGCGAAAACGCGCCTGAAGGGATCTGTTCCGGAGTTGTCGAGTGCCAGACAGTCTGCACAGTTTGGTGGAAACCATCGAGGGAGGGCCAATATCTCTGGAAGTGGAAACGCCTGCCACCAACAGTCCTGATAGCGCAGTCGAGGAGAAGGGGGGAGTGGTCCGAAGCCGCGGAGGCGAGGCAGCGCAGAAGGTAGTGCGCGTGGTCGAGCTCCCAGGAAGGGGTGCATAGCACACGATCGTTGCGAACGAGGGTCGGACTGTGTTGCTCGTTAGACCACCATGCAGGTAGACATCATGCAGTCCATGGTCAGAGATGAAACGCCGGAATCGGTTCATGGTGCGCCGGTTGATGCGGTTCTGTTGTGAATCAAGGTTCACAACAGAGACAACACAAGCAAGCAGTGCTCTGCAGCGACAAGCAATTGCGGTTACAAAAAACAAAATTCACTCAAAATTCAGCACTTGACTCCAAAACATGATATGACACAAAACCATAATCTTGATGGTCTAGTACTCTGCAACGACACTCCCAAATTTTTTCAAAAAATCAACCTAGTTCAGTCCTAACTTCCTAACGATGCAAAGATCATAACAGATTCTTCTGAGCAAGTAAAACCCCCGCTGCCGTGCACATGACGATAGACAGAAAGCCGTCCCTGGATCTCATGCGCTCCTTCCATGTCAATGGAGCAGAGACTTGCTTCAACACTTCTCGGAACTGTTCTTTCGTGTCCTCCAGTGAGCCAGAATTGTTGATCACTATATCTGCTTCGGACTTCTTCCAGTCAAGCGCAAGCTGCGTATTGATCCTGTTCTGAGCTTGTTCCTCACTGCACCCATCTCTTAACATGAGCCTCTCAATCTGTGTTTCGGTTTCCACCCATACAACAATCACTGGGTTCGTCCATTGGTCCATCTTTGTCTCAAACAACAACGGGATGTCGACAGTGATAACTGAGCATCCCTTCACCCACAGTTTTAGTATCTCCCAAAATATACCACATGAAATATGTGGGGATAGAAGACTGAAAGTAGCCACAACGAACAAACCAAAATGTAGTCAGAGCCCAGGATCGAGGAATAATGTTGAAAAACAAGAATCCTTTATATCACAGGGACTATTGATGACAAAGTATAAGGATGCAAGGAAATGTCAGTATCTTGCTGCACCCACTTTGCTGTGGTATTTTTATTTTATATATGACATAATTAGTATTGTTAAAGGTGAACTTATCACATTTCATAATCCATGTATGAAACATCACTCGAAATCTACGCACTCAGTTGATGTGAACTGAATATCCAATGGAAGTATGGCATTTTTCTAGAAACTAGAACAAGGAAGACGTAATACCAGAAATAGGTGGAATTGTTTTCTTAAAGCAGTAATTATGTAGTAATTACCATATATATAAACTGGATCACATATCTACTAACCATAGCAGAAAAAAAAGGAAACAGGATGCAATATTTATGTTGGTAGGAGTTGTACCGGGTTAGAAGTTTCCTTTTTGCTGGATCAGAGAAAACAATCTGACCTAAGAGAGCTCTGTCAATTTCTCCATTTTCCAATAATATGTTATTTCCAAAAGTTTTTACAATCTTCTTCCAACCTCCAGTACCTTTCTGCACTACATTCTGTAAATGCACGTCTCCATAATCAGCATAAAGTTCAAACAAAAACAAGGAAGTCAATTGTCATTGTCTGGGAGAATTTCAGTACACATAATAACTTAATAAGTCTAAAAAAGGGCAGCCCGGTGCACATAGCTCCCGCTTGCGTAGGGTCCGGGGAAGGGTCCGACTGCAAAAAGCATACTTTGCAGTTTGAAGTTCAAGTACTAAATTATGAAAGCAAAGTGCCATGTACACCCAACTGGTCCAAAGCCCCTAGTCAAACATAATTAATATCGCATCATACCAGGGATTGTAATAACGTTCTACCATTGATTTTTATCATCCCATAGATATTTATGATAACAATAAGCAATGCATACATGCAATTGGCTAAAATCACGTTTGCTCAAGTGACAGTGGTTTCAAATGCAGGTAAATACCTTAGAACGCTATAATGAGCCTGTCAGTTATTATGGTCATGCATCACCCTGAAGCCCCAAAGATAAAACATAGTTAATCTTGCGTCGTACCAGTCACTGTAATATTTTTGTTCAAGAGATATCCCAGCTATGGTAAGACGTTCATGCTGACAGATTCAGAGTTCCAATTAGACAGAGAATGCAGTTTTTATTTTACCTCAACCCACGCCAATCTACTCCCATGGGTTTGAGCATGGCATTAGGAATTTAAGGCCCTAACTTCCTTCTTATAGCCATATAGCAACAAAAAATAAGTATTCTCTCGGCGGCTACTTCTTTAGCCTGCAAAATGCACATGATTTCCCATCCTATAATCCGCACTGAATAACAAAGAAGGGGGGTATATCATTGGTCATCCCACTCACATTTCTTAACCGCCCAACAAAACTCCCGGTTCTGTTCCTGTTACTGTGAGTCTGCAAGTAGTAGCAGTAGGGATGAAAAAACACCACTGCGACGCCTTTGCCCTCAACATAAAGCTAAATTGAGCAGTTTCATTCCATGCTGTAGAACTTTATTACATAGTTAAAATCAACACCAAATTACCAAGTATAGCTGCCAGTTCTCAGGGAGAATAGAAAAGGTAATAACAATGCAAAAATGGAAACAGTTTTGTACTGATCACATTGATTAGCACGAGGATGGATTTTTTGACAGAACTATTTACCCCCAAAAAGCTGAAGTGAGCAGCCTACTTGCATGCTATACAAAAGTAATTACTTACATTCTATTCTGTAGTACTACCATAGTTGTGACTGAATCGAGTAAAACAACAACATTGCTTGCAAAGGCACAGCATGATATAGCAGCAGCAACACACCGATGCTGGATGCTGGATGCTTACCCGAGCCACAATGTCCGCGTCGACGACAGGGACGCCGGCCGATTTGAAGAGGCCAGAGACGGTGCTCTTCCCCGAAGCAATTCCACCCGTCAAGCCGATCAGCCTCATCTGAAAATCGGTTCGCACGAGATGATTTAGAGCGCGTCGGGATGACCCCGTCTGTTCTGACTCTCATAGATTGGGGATAACCGATTTTTCAAAACCGAATTTGATCACAGGTTGAGAGTTTAACAGATGGAGGGGATGCGAAACCACACCGAATTCAGCAGTTTAGGTACAAGAGGGGCCCGAATCGAAAGGGGAAATTCGTCGGGCGCTGTGTTCTTCTCGAGTGCTCCCGGGTGATCAAGTGAGCGAGATACCTTGCGATCTCGAGGCCGGTGCGTCCCGGTAGGCCGCACGCAGCAAGCCTCCTCCGCGCCGCCGCTACGTTGCAACTCTCTTCTTCAAGCGTGCCGTCGCAAATTTGTTTCTCCGCCAGCCAGCCGCCGTCGCGTAGCTGTGCGAATAATCTTTTTTTTTTGGCACCGCTAGGCGCCGGCGCACCAGCCGAATGTTTCGGCCGGTCTGCTCCCAGCCATCCGATCTGCTGTGTAACACCGTCAGATCCGAGCTCCTCTGTTATTTTTTTTTACCTTGTCCTCGTCTCCCCGAGCGCACGCCGTGCCGACCGCCCGTCGGGGCCGCCCCACGCTCCGGCACTCAGCTCGTCTCGGCCGCTCGCCGCCCCGGCCGCCGGTTGGAGCTGACCGCTCGCCGCCTCGGCCGCCCGTCGGAGCGCCATGGATGCAGCTCCGCGACTCAGCTCGTCCAGTCCGCTCGCCGCCCCGGCCGCGCGTCGGGGCCGCCCCGCGCTCCGGGACTCTGCTCGCCCCGACCGCTCGCTGCCCCCGCTGCTCATCGGAGCGCCATGGATGCAGCTCCGCCTCGCCGATGATTGGTTCCAGCAAAAAACAGAGATGCCCCGTGGTAGCATTTTTCCGTGTCAGTCGTAGCAAATGAAGACAACGGTTGCAGCAAAAAAATTCATCGGCGTCGTCATTGTAGCAAAAATGTTAATCGGATGTAGCAAAACACAACGCCAAATGGTAGCAAAAAACGAGGATGTTGCAACAAAAATGTCGTCCTCGTCGTCGCTAGTCACACCTCAGTCGTAAAAAAGCACCATGGCCGCATGAATGGATGTAGCAAAAACACAGACGGTAGTAGCAAAAAATTGACACGGTTGTAGCTTTTCCCCTCTACGGTGGAAGCTTTTTTGTAAACAATTGAAACTTTTTTCTTTTTGAGCAGCGTCTGGGTGAAAGCTTTTCTCTATCGTTCGGTTGAAGCTTTTTTCATCAAAGGTTGTAGCATTTTATATAGACGGTTGTAGCTTTCCTCGATAGCACTGATTGCTCACAGCTTTCTGTATATACGGTTGAAGCATTTTTAATCTTGGGTTGAAGCTTTCCTGTCAACGGTTGCAGCACTCGCCAGCCTCCCCAGCTATCGCGCCTCTCTGATTGAAGTAAAAAATACCATCGGTTATAGCAAAAAATCTCTATGGTAGTAGCAAAACCAGAACACAATTGTAGCAAAAAAAAATGGTCATCCGTCGTCTCGCCGTGACGTCGAGGTTCCAGCAAATTTGCGCCGTGGGGTGCAGTCCTGCCATGGCTGGTTGCAGTTCCGGCGTGGCCGGGTCCGGCGAGGTAGGGAGAACTCCGATGCACGTGGATCCGCGCGGGTCTGGTCGAGGGCGGCCAGATCTGCTGAACGGCGGCGCGCCTGGGAGGCCTGCGGCGCGGGGCGATGCGTTGACCATGGTAGCGGGGAGAGAGAAAGAGAGAGATGCGCCAGAGGAAGAAGAGAAAAGGAAGGAGGACTAGTCGTCTCGGGTCCATCGCGCCACGTGGTTACTCGTGAGTGGGTCGCATCGCGCACGCGTGGACTGGACCGTCCGAAGCTTCGGCCGGTGCCCCGGCCCCAAACGTTTCCCTTTTTTTTGAGTAACCTGCGTGCGAATAATCATGAGTACAATTACCAAGTAGGGGGAAATGCGGCGCTGTTGGGCATCGTTTGGCAAAGCAACCACCAAAAATGGTCAAACCTTTAAAAAAATAGCATATTCCCTAAAAAAATCCTAATAAATGTCCCTAAATACTTCACGATGCAGTTGTGCCGGATGGATGTCGCGAGCGCACATGCATAGACCCTCTAATGCGCTCGATTGCTCCGACCGCGCGGGATCCGGCCCGACCAGGTGCCGTTACAGCATAAGGCGCGACGTGCGGCATGCGGTGGGCCCAGGTTGATTTATTTCATGCGAAACTGCCCACACCGCCCGCTTCTCCTGTTCGAAACTGCGTCGTCGCCCGAATCCCCTTTCCATTTCGAACTTCTCCCTCTTCTCCCTCTCCTCTAGAAACTACGCGACGACGCGAGGTACTGCGGTTGTCGATCGCGCACGGAGTCGCCGGTGCGGGAAGTCGTCCGCGAGCGCGGCGAGTCGCCGGCTACAGGCGGAGGTAAACCCCAGCACCTCTTCCCCCTCTCCTCCGGGTTGCGCTCCAGATTCAGTTGAGAGTTTGTGTTTGCAGCATTAGGGTTTGGGTGACGGGGCGGGCACGCAGGTTTTCCATGGTGTCCGCGGGCCCGGCGTTGCCATGGCGGGGGAGGGCTCGGCGTTGCTATGGCAGGGAGAGAGCTCGGCGTTGCTATGGCGAAGGGAGGGGTGGGGTGGGGGGAGGGGAATTGAGTCCTTGAAAGGGCGGAGGCATAGGGTAAGAGGATGCATCAGGTAATCTGTAGTGTGAAGTATTTTTAGGTGTTTTATTTGATGTTGCTTGAATCCCGGACGCAGTTGTACAGAAATATAATGGTAGTTACTTAGTTTTTTCTGCAATTTGCGAGATGGCACTACTGCAGGATGCTGCTAACGCGAAATTACGATCAGAGACCCTTTGACAAAATTGTGTGCGATGCATTAATCGCAAACAGTGACGTAAAAAGCCGTCAAAAAAGATGCAAAACGTTTGCGATGGCGGAGCCATCAAACACGGTTTGATTTTAGTTGCTTGTGCGATGCAGGACACACGGTTGATCCATCCGAACTATTTGCGATGAGGCAGAACAACAGAACGGACAACCATATCAATGTGTGTGCGATATACGGCATACAGTTCGCTCCGATGAACTGTTTGATATTGGGGAGTGCAACAGAAACGGTTAGCCAGATCAAGATTTGTGTGATATACGATATACAGTTTATTCGGACGAACTATTTTCGATTAGGGAACACAACAGAAACGGTTCAACTTAACAAAATATGTGTGATATGCGGCATACAGTTCACATAGATGAACTGTTTGCGATGAGCCAAAGGAACACAAATGAGTCATGTAACAAGATGTGTGTGATACATGGAATACATTCGACTCGGATGAACTCTTTGCGATGAGAAATTACAACACAAACGGTTACTACAGTTAGTTCGTGTGAGATTATGTGTGTACAAAAAACTTTGAAAAATGCAAACTAGTTGCTTGCGGTGGCTAGGAGTATCACACACGATGCGTCTGCGAGTACTCGTGTGCGATGATTAGTAAGTTACACATACGTTTCCTTATGTTAACACATGTGTGCATTTGCAATATGGACAGATAATATGCAAATGTCTTCTGGACATCGGGCACACATTTAAACTCAATGAACTGTGTAAGATACTAATACTTTCCATGAAAATTTAAGAACTTGGCTAACAACATTTGAGTAACATATATATAGTGGTTACACTATTCAACAAAAGGAGGATCTTCGTAACACAGTTTTGACAACCATATGGTCCATATCTACATACCTAACATAATAACAACTATCACATTTTAAGAGGCTGAGGGCCAACAACTATATGGTCCATATCTACATACTTAACATAGTAACAACTAGCACATTTTAAGAGGCTGAGAACCAACAACCACAACTATCCACTGGAAGCAGCCTGATCACGGCGACTCGGCATCTCGTCAATAAAAAAGAAGAGCCCTCTTGTGCCTTGGTAGAGCATGAGTAGAACAGTGTCCAATTTTCCAATATGGATGCACTACCACGACAAGCGAGAACTTGTTAATTTGAATGGTTACATTTCTGTGAGAAATGCAGTACCTTGCAATCACTTTGGCTTTATTAGCAGGCACAAGTGTAATTCGACCACGCTGGGAAATCCATCCAGGAACTGCTACATCAGGCAATTTCTATTGAAATGTAGAATAAAAACCAATTTTAACATACCGTTGAAGATATATATAGTTTATGAGCATCAACATTAAAATAAGACTTTTTACTGGCATTTTGTGCACACAATTGGTCTTATTCAATGTGTACACCATAGGTATAATTAATCTCATCAATAATCCAGCATTCATACGTTGTGCTATCTCTGTCAGATTATCAACAAAGTTTATGACATGCTTCAAGTCCTTCCAGTGAAATTTGGTACGCTTAGTAACATACAGATTGTTCACTATGCATCCAAAATATCCTGCTTAAAAGGTGGAAATGTATTATTTATCCAGAACATGGCAGAAGAATATATAGTGCACATAAATTGGTAAATAGAATTTGTTACTGCCTGGGAACAGAGTCAGAAAATGAAATCACAGTTGGTTGCTTAAATATTGATCAATTAGTCAGAACAAATACCCCAATTTTGCTAAGTAATATGCCAGCATGGAGAAAGTTGAAAGTACACTAACCTCGATCAGACTTTGATCGGCTGATGATGTTGGGGAAGTAAACATTCATGTTGATTAGACCAAGTTGTGGTGTACACACTAGAATTTTATTGTCAGCTTTCAGTTCATAACACTTAGATACTTTTCTCCAAAGGTCCACATCAAAATGGGAGTGACCGTCTTTATCAAGTTTTATGCTAACCGTCATTGTAAATCCATGTTGCGTTGTCAATATGACATCCATGGAGTCATCAACAAAGTAAAGCCCAAGATTTCCTTCTACTCATGTTCTTGTAAAGCAAGGGATGTACTGCTTGAAATGAAAATTAAAATCGTAAATTAGATATATTGAAATAACAGAGTAAGATGCAAATATGGGAGTAACTGATAGAA